AAATATATTAGACATATATTTTAAGATAATTTTAAGTATATTTTAGATATATTAAAAATATATTATAAGTATTTTGCAATTTTTAAATTAAGTATATTTTAAGTATAATACTTTTTATAGGGATTTAGCATTATTATATCATTAACATAATTTATATAAATTCAATATGATGTTTATTATCTTTAAAATAATGTACATCATTAATAGACATTAAAATTAGGTGATGCACATCAAATATTATGACATCGGTAGTACATTGCAGGGTCTGATGTTCAGCATTTCTTTATGATGTACATTAAGTAACCAATGTATATTTAATAAACATTTTTCCCATAACTTCCTAATGTTGATAGAATAGCAGATTTGAGCAGAAATTTAAGCCAAAGATCTTTGCAGATTTTTACCCTAAAAAATTTACCGATGAAAGAAATTAAAAAAAATTGCATTGTTTGAATTTCCAAAAAAGGAAATTCTTTGCAGATCTTTTAATTCTGGCCAGAATTATGCTATTTTAATACATATTAAGCATTGACATAGACAACGGGTAAACACTAGTATTAATAAAAAAACATTGTGAAAAAGGTTTTTAATTATGAAAACTGATTTAGATCCAGATCAGATCGAATCTAATTTAGATTTGAATTAGATTGAATTGAATCTAATTTAATTTAATTCAAATTCAGATCAAATCAGATTTAACTTAAATCTAGTCTGATCTGATCCATTCAGAATACTATTTGTATAATTTTCTTATATAAGGTGAGGATTCCTAAAAAAATATATAAATAGGTAAGATCTCAAGTTACTTAGAATTTACCAAAAAAATTGTATAAATCTTTCCTTTTTAAATAATACTAGCCAGAATTTAATTTTCTAATTTAGAAACTGGCTAGTATTATAACTATTATAACTATTATTATAGTTCTGACTTTGAAGAAATACTTATAACTCATAGTAAAATTTTTTTGGTTGGATCTTAACTATTTATGTATTTTCTGGGATCCTATAAGGTGCTTTCTGTTTAACTACTTTAAACTTTTCATTGTATTCAATATAATGTTTAGAATTAGATATATTTGAATATATATTTGAATAATAATTAAATATGTTAAATTTTTTTTATAATAATAATTTACATAAATTTGACCAGAATTATGATTTTAACTTAATTAAATTTAAGGATTTAACATTCAATTAAAATTTTAACTATACTATATCTGGCTAAATGAATACTTGAATAACTACTATACTTATTTAAATATTCAAATATACTCAAGTTTAGTGCTCCTAATAGATCAATCTAATCAGATCAAATATCATAATCTAACAGTCCAATTTTAATAAACTTTTTTTTATTTTGATCAGCTTAATATGATCTACAAAACAAAAAAATAATTATTAAAATCCAATTACTAGATTATGAGATAATTTTTTTTAAATTTGATTCAAATTAGATCAAATTCAGATCAGATTACTAAAATTCTGATCTGATCTGAATTTTTAGAAGCACTATTCAAGTTATTCAAATAACTATTACATGATTCTTTAATAATACAATATTTTTGTTGATCCTATTTCATTTTAATAATTTTATCCTTCTAGCTCTTTGCTATATTATAAATACTCTTAAACAATAGGTCTGATAAGTAATATGGCAATTTGAAGTCATTAGTTATAGGATTTTGAGTCCCACTTTATACTTTTCAAAATCTTATCCAATTTTTGCTTTTTGTCAAATCCATTTGACTTTATGAATTTGCATTTTCTGGTATTTCTGTACAAAACAAAGCTACATTAATTAATGAAATAAAATCCAATTTTGTTAATAATTATGTTAAAAGAGGTTAGCATATTACATTCATATTGACCAATTATTACAATGCAAAGTCTTACCTTGATGTTTATCAAAATTGGATTAGGAAATCAAAAAAAAGCAAAGTTAGTTAATCATTTCAATATTACTCAAATAATTTGAATAATGAAATAAAAATAAATCAATTTTTTTTTAATCTAGAAATTTTATTTCCAAGCTTATATTTCAATAGAAAAAATTTTATTTGATTGTTAAATAAGTTTGGTTGTTGATATCAGATGAGTTATCAAGATTATGTATTCAATAATATGTATATAATCTAGATTTAACTCTGTAGAATTTCTTTCATAATTTTTAATGCACTTTGAGCAGTACCATAACTTGATTCATATCCTTCAAAAATATTGTAATTTCAAAATAAAAGTTGATTAAAATAATGTTGAAGTAATAAGTAATAAAAGTACAGATGAATCTATTTACCAGACCCTCCATGACCATAATTATGACAAATAAGTATTTTTTTGCCGTATTTTTCAGAAGCTAAATAATAAATAATATAACCAAATGAGAAAAATGCAGGCGCAACATGTTCAATTAAGGTTCATTTTTTTTTAAAAAAAAATAAAAAGTACATACTCATCCATTCGGTCTCAACCCTTACACCACCTTTACGATAAGGTCGAAGACCAACTCCATGCATCTTAATAATTAGGTGAGGTTGATCCTTTGGCAAAAGATCCGGACGAGTGGCAAGACATCGATGAATAATTGCTGTAGCAGTGTCATAATCAACATCTGTCGAACTTATATTTAGATTCAATTATATAAATAATGTACTGTATAGATTCTTGTCAATAAGGAAAAAGTTAAGTACTCATATTGATTATCTTACTAATTATCTTCTTCCTATAATTGAAGTGAATATAATTAAGAAATCGAAAATCTAAATTCAATTATGCAATCTGTAAAATATAAAGTATAGAGATGCTCACATAAGTCCCACCAAGAGTTATTTCTCCATTATCGCGTGGTATTGCATATGTACTTTCTCCATTAGCCTCTTTTGCAATTATGCATTAAAAAATAAAGCGCAATTTGTTAAAACTTTATCTCCAAGAAATCAAAAAAGCATAATGAATAAGTTCAACAACCATCATTACCTCGCTTAAAAAAAGCCCAATTCATATATGATTGAGGTAATTGTGCGATCACAGTTTGGCCCCTCACTGGAAAGACATCAGAATCTTCAACACCACCTAATGTTCTGGCATTAATGCCCGAACAATTGACCACAATATCGGTATCACTTTCGATACATTCATTTAAGTGAGATAAGTTGACACGTTGTGTGGTACCACCCCAAGAGGTGAAAGTATTGAGAAGATAGTTAAGGTAGGTTGATGGATTAATAGAAACTTGTAGAAATGATCAATAAATTAATTGACATCATGGTGGTTTGTTATAATTGACTTTATAAACGAAGATCTTTATGTTATAAATTACTTGATTTGTATGTGATTCCAAATTCGACACCAACTGGCAGCTCCTCTTTTCTTAAATGTCGATACTATTTTCATAATTAAAAGAATCTTTATAATAGACTTTACTATACTCCAATTCGTACTTATAAATTTTTACCTCATGACATAATGTTTTGAACCACGGATCGGAGAAATCTTGTGGAAGTTTTTCCCAATATTCAAACTCATCAATAATCATGACTCCAGAATATGGTGTATTAGCAATTTTCCAAAAATAATTATAGGTTTCTCTATCAAATTCTTTTTAGATTATAAAAAAAGTTGGTGAAATGTTTCAGTATCCTATCAGATCCAAAGTAATGTATTACGGGTAAAGCTTTATTAAAGGACTTCTCATACTATATACCTTGCTCTCTGATTTCATCTTTCGCAGCATGGCTCTTCCAATGTGCACCAGCCCTATATCATCAACGTTTAAAAAACTTCAATATGGTATGGTAATAATGCTTAAGAAAGTTTATATATACCAAGGACTCGTGTATTCGGCAGATAAATCTCCTGGAAAATGCTTTGCAACTATATGAACTTTAATCGCTTTTTCTTGTTGTAAGAGCAAATTAGCCGTGGTTAATCCTGAGACACCTGCATAAGTTTTGTATGAATTTGTTAATAGCTTGCGAAAAATTTCACCAGAGATTGTTGCTTTTCAGATGCTCTTCCTACCTGCGCCAAGCACAACGATACGTTTGTTCAACATCTTCTGACGAAAAAACTCTTTATATATGATTCTTATTACTTTATTATTTCGAGATTCATAAGAGTAAATATCAATACTAGAAACAATGACTTTATTACCTTGCTTTGTTTGATATCAAAAGAACCTTAAAAAGAACGTCGTGAAGCTTTTCGAGGAGGGAAAACTTTGAATAGTCAACTCATTCGAAAATACATTCGTGAGTTATTTGAGTTTTACGAATAATTCTACACTATCATTCGTCCAATTTTGGAAATTGGATTCAGTGTTTTGCGTCGCATGGTACACCAATTACGCTATTTTGTATAGGTCGAACATTTTAAAAATCATAGAGCTTATTGGGAAGAAGGGCCTTTGTTAGGGTGGAATACAAAAATCAAATGAATGGACTCGGACCGGTGGGCAATTTTTGTGGAGAAAAATATTATACTTCACGATTCTTAAATCGGTATTTTCTTTTTCTTTTTTTGAACTAATATCTATGGATGGGTGTCGCTAATTATCAATCATTTTCACTTTAAATTTAGGAATATGAAGCTTCGAAATCCAAAGTCTAGTTTATGGAATGACGCGTAATCCTTTAACAAGATACCCCGATTGTCATAAAGAATGGATGTCCCTCCGTTGGTGTCGTGGTTGTAATCCCAAACATTTTGAATCCGAACGTCATAAATGGACAAGTGGAAACTCGGAAATTGATGATTTTATTTTAGAAACACAAATAACCGCCGAATTTTCTGACCAAGCCTTGGAATGGATCCCGGAAACTCAGCTTACGGAATTTAAGTTGATTGGTAAAGGTGGATTTGGGAAAGAAGGACGTGCATATAAGTGGGATTCCATTGCGAATAAGTGGAAATGAGGCGAATCCATGTGGGTTGCCTTGAAAAGTGTAGAGAAAGGAGAAGAAGGTGTTAAAGAGTTTCTTGAAGAGGTAAAGTATTGTAAGTTCTGTTCGATTGTTACTTTAACCATTAATCATTTCTTTTAATAACGTGTTTTTTTTTTTTACATTTTTCAATTAGATCAAAGCTATGCATCAATGTAGGAAAGTTAACTTGGGTTCATTAGATCGTTATGGCGTAACACGACATCCTGACACAAAAAAAATATCTAATGGTTATACGATTTGTCGAATTTGGCGATTTAAGAAATTACCTATCTAACTTTGACACAAATAGACAGACTTTGGAGTCTTACGATAGACTTTCGTAGTCTACATCGGTCAGGCCTCGTACACCGAGACTTACACAGTGGAAATGTGCTTTTTGGTGATAACAGGCGTAACTTTGTCGCCGATCTTGGGTTAGCTTGTAAAGATGGTCAAAATATAACTGGAGAAATCAAAGGTGTCTTACCGTACTTTGCGCCAGAAATCCATTGTCGTCAACCTCACACAAAAGCCTCGGACATTTACAGTTTTGGTATCATCATGTGTTAACCTCACCTCAACCTCCTTTATATGAAACGGCGTACGATTCTAATTTGGCTCTAAGTATTTGTGATGGAAAAAGGCCACAAGTGATTAAAGGGACCCCGGCATGTTATGTTGAATTGATGAAGAAATGTCGGGATCCTGACCCGTCCAAGCGTCTACCGCTCAAGAGATGGCCGAAATTTTTAAGGAATGGACCCAAATTCTTTCAAAGGATAAATTAAATGAAGAAGAGAAAAGTATAAAGGATCAATTTGTATCATCCGATCTTGAAAGACAAAGAAGTTCACGTCCCGCCATAACATTTCGAGAGTTGAGTACACGTCCTTTAACTACCCAACGGTTTCTCTTTCGAATCAAGATCTTCGTAAGTTGATTTCTTATTTTAATTTGTTGGATTAATATAATAATCAAATTGAATGCCACATTTTCCACATTATAGATTTTTAAAGCATAACAATCAATCACTTTTTTATTTTCACTGCAATATATCTTATGACACGGAAGTTCATAATATCTCACATTCTCTTTACTTACGAAATAACCTTTCTTATAATGTTTTTATTCAACATGCAGAATACCAAACCACTCAATATGACCTCAAACTTACGAATGATCTGCCCTTATAAAAAAGGGTGCATAAAAAACAAAGCGTAGGATTTCATAATAATAACCCTCGAACATATGACGTTTTATTATATCATTATTTATTAAGTTTCTTCAATATAGTTACCATGAATATCTATAATATAATAATGTATATGAATTATTATGATTAAACATTAAAATAAAACAAACCCACTTATAAAATGTATTTAATGTATTGAAGATTCTTTAAAAAGAAAAATATCAAAAACCTTAAAAGAACCAAAGTATAGATTGTGTTACATTTGAAAACGATCTTCTTTCCCAAAGTAAAAATGAAAACACTTAAATTTTAAACATTTATCTGAATTTTTTTCTAAGAAAATTTAAAATTATTTATTCAATAGGGTATTACTAAATATCACCAGTAGTGACTGTTACCAGTGGTGAATTTATGATGTAATGCCAACCAGTATTTTATTAGATTTTAATTCTGACCAAAAGTACATCATAATGCTGGTATAGTGACCATCACTACTGGTGAACTTTAGCAATACCCTATTCAATATATTTATTCAATAAAATTTATGGGAACTCTTTCTTATAATTTTATAGCTTAAATATGGTTTTTAACACCAAAGACATGTCTTTTGAAGACTTTGAAAAGGTTGACAACATTAAACTAAATGGAAAGACCCTTTGTCAATATATTAGTATGGCTCTCTTATGATTCATCCAACCCATATTAATAACCATATTAAGAAAGTCTTGCCACCTGTGAAATAGATTATACTGGCTCTTTTATAAAGAAATACAAGGCAGAACTTAAAAAACTTGGTATTAAGAATGAAGTTTAGCTTATCTACTTGTTGTTTATTATCTCTATCTTTGCTAAAAATTACAAAATTGCTTTGAAAGAAAAATTCCTTATGGCAAACATCTAAGAACAAATGGCACAATATAAAACCTACCAATATATACCAGTATTTGATCAAATAATACTGATGAAATTAAAAATTTTGGAAAATATTAAACACTAATCAATGGATATGCTACTGTCTTTTTCAACAAAAAACTCTACCAAGAGTTTCACAAAATTAAATACTAAAGCCACATTTTATACCTTAAAAAGAAAAAGTTGTATAGTTACCTTTACAGAAATGGTCACCAGGAATTTAAATGCAGCCAATAGGTCACTTTTCTGACTTCTTTCAGTAATAAAAGGATAAATAAAAATGTAACTAAGTGCATATACAGTATTAAATAACAAGACTCAATTAACTATAAAGAAGAAATAACAACATGCTTCACCAAGTGAGGTTATGTTAGTGCTCCTAAAAATTCAAATCAAATCAGGATTTTAGCAATTTAATTTGAATCTCTGATTTGAAAAATATTATTTCATAATCTAGTAATTGAATTTTAATAATTTATTTTTTATTTTATAAATCATATTAAGCTAATTAAAATAAAAAAATGTTTATTAAAATTAGACTGCTAAATCAGGACTAAGTGCTACGGAGATGAGTGGTGTAGGGTTAAGGAGATGTGTAATGGTCTCCTATGTGACAGTTTACATAGGTGATAAATAATGCGACAGGCCAAACACATAATTTGAAGTAAACTGAAATGCTAATTATAACCTGTGTATATTTCATACCCCTTATTTTACATACTGTTACACACTACTAAATATCACCATACAGGCATACACCATACAGGTGGTCGACTCTACATCACTGATATTTGTCTTACCAATCAGGATTCTGGATATTTAATATAAAAGTTATAACTAATCTGCATAAAATTAAATACTTTTTGCTCTTTCTAAAGTTGAATTAATTTGCTAAAAATTGAATTATTACAATGATTTTTTATTTTTTTTTTAGAATATCTTTTATGCGCTAATGTAACTACTCTTTTTCCATTACAAGTAGATTCTTATATAATAGTAATATTTAATAATATATTTTGTATTGCTCAAATTATTGCTATATATATAAATAAAAAAACTTAATTAAACAGGAATCAAATAGTGACTCTAATAGATTAAACTTGCCTTCTCCTATTATAAATAAAAAAAAGAAAAAAACTGTGTCCATTTCAAAAACTAACTTATCTAATACTAGTTGAAAGACTTCCAAGAAATAACCAGCTACACTAGCACTTAAAATTATTAGTACTGTAATGACTGGATATAACTTCAAAAATAAAGTTCATGTCTATGAAATTACAATTTATGATATCCCCTTTGGATGGATCTAACTCGATATGTTTAATCACTTATAAGTCTGGGTCAAGTACTTGTATTTAAATTTAAATCGCAACAGAAATACACTACCGTTATTGTGTCAGTAAATTCAACAAGATGGCAATGGATCTAGTATGAAATGATGGCATTTTGTATAATAGTTTTTGGCTAACTGAAATCTTAAACAAAAAAAAAACAGGAACGATTCAGATAGTGTTAACAAAAGTTCCTGCTTTTACCACCATTGCATCCTTATATCCAGCTAACTTTACTCACTCTATTCTTACATCTACTGGATGTAAAGCATTTAAATTAATTTAAATAAGGGCACTTACAAATTGATAACTTATTGATAAGACTTTCAGTTTAAATGAATTTACAGGTGATTAGAAAAGGTATTATACCCCTAACTTGAAACAAAAAAGGAACTGCCATCAGAAGGTGAAATAAGATGATGATTTTAATAAGGTATCTCAGAAAAATACTAATACAATTAAATTAGACAAAAAACATAAAAAGACTAATAAACGAACCAAGAAAATTGACAAGAGCTTAGTATACATGAAAACCAAAATTAGTTAATTTTGACTTCCAAAATGGTCAAAATAGTCAAAATAATTTTGACTTAGATCTCTTCAAAAGTCGAAATGGTAAAATTACATTATAGTCATATGATTTTATAGTAAACAATAATATTAAAATTTAAAGTTAATGAACTCCGCATCCAGTGATTCGATTTTTATGATCTTTATACAGTTGGATTTAGCTCATTGAGAGAATTCCAATGATATATATTTCATATTTGTAGCATTAATATTGATGGAGTTATTCACGTTTAAAATTTGGTATTAAATCTATATAATTAAAAAAATTTGTGTATAACCATAACGTTTAGATTACCCTGTATAAATAAATTTTCCACGTATTGTTACACTATTTCCTAAAAAAGAAATTTTTTCCCAACGTAACTCAAGATATGTATTACACAAGGTTACAAATTCCATATTAAGAAATTTGTACTTAATCACCAATTATGATCAGAATTACGGCCAGCATTATGATTTTGCGAGTTCCTTAACGTACGCACTGTGAGAACCAGATTTTAGGAGTTATGCACTTGCATGTGATAGCATTACACTTAACTCCGGCTAGTGCATATGTTAACAAGAATTATGATTTTTGCCCAAAATTAAAGTGCCGAAATTTAGCAAAATTTATCAAATAATTTAACTGTATTATTATATATTATGTAATATATATCAATTGCCAACAACCCAAGAAATTATTTAATTTTTACATTTTACATTTAGGGTTCGTTATATTTATTATATTTCTTTATGTATATGATAGCTAATATATTACGTACTGCAACTTCTTTTTCATCAAATTCAATTAATTGCCGATCCGCCTAAAAACGGCACTGCGTTACTAATAAAATTTGGGGATAATAGCGATAATAAAAAAAAGAATTTTTTGCATCTCACGCGCGAAATAAGTTTCACCCAATTTACTAACAGAAATATCATAAAAACAATATTTTCTTTCATTTTATGACAAGTCATATTTGCCAAAAAATTTTATAATTATATTTCTGTAACTGGTTTTCTTCAACTTTCACTTGTTTTTAATAATAAAAATATTTCAAAAAAGCTTTTAAAAACAACTTTAGAAGCTAAAAATTATAGGTTTTATTGTAAATAATGCAATATAGTAAAATGAAATATTGAAATTTCGTATATTTTAAGGTGTAAATCTGACGCACACGCATAGTAAACTCATTATTTTGCATACGAATGTATAACTTTTTTTTGCAAATTCATTTTTTTCACGTATTTTTTCAGTATATCATATGATTTTTTTTTATAGTCAATATGTCATCTATGAAATATCCTTTTTTGAAGTTTGTGTTCTAGCACAAAATCGGCAAATTTAACCCCAAATTTTATTAGTAACGCAGTGCCGATTTTAGGCAGATCGGCAATTAAATAACTTGGCATCTAATAATCGTACAAAGATGTACCATAACTTGTTAGAATCGTCTCACTGAGATGAATTTAATAATGGTAGTTTTATTCTTTTATGATCACTGGCTGATGAGTTATTCAACAAAATGTTAAACATTGGCATTATAATATTTCTTTACGTTTACTGTGCCATTTAACATTTTGCTAAATTTCTTAGTACTTAGTGATTGTAAAAAGACGATTAATAGCTTATTGGAATTGCCTCATCAAGATGAATCGAATGGTGGTAAGCCATTTCTCTGTGATCAATATTGACAGAGTTACTACTTAAAAACCATTTAATATTTTTTTAATTTTAGAAATTGATCTAGTGATTGGATTTTGATGTATCTTATACCATTAGATTCGCCTCATCAAGACGAATCGAATGGTAGTAAGATCGTCTCTCTAGGATCAATATTGACGGAGTTACTACTTAAAGACCATTTAATATTTTTTAATTTCAGAAATTAATCTAGTGATTGGATTTTAATATATTTTATACCATTAGAACCGTCTTATCAAGACGAATCGAATGGCGGTAAGATCATATCTTTACGATTAATATTGGCGGAGTTATGATACAATAAAGTTTTAAGTATAATTCTGGCCAAAATTGTTAATTTTTGGCCGGAATTATGATATACAAATATAAGAAATTTTTTATATAGTCACATCTCTTTATAATCACCAAATATGGACTGTCCCAAATGTGTAACTATAAAGAGAGTTGACTGTATTACTATTCATTCAAAAAAAAAGATAAACATAAAGTATAAACATATAATGATAAACCAGATTAAGCTTTATAAAACTATATTTTTAAATTTTCTATAAAGTATTTCTTAATGAAATAGTAGCAATTCAAAATTGAAATATTTTACTATTAAATTAAATATTTGGCCATTTTATTCTAACCAGAATTACATGTAAATCTAGCCAAAATTACTTTCGTTTAATTATTAACTATATAAATCTGTATATATTCTTGAATATCATGTTGGTCATTTATTATATTATGTATATATTCTTGAATATCATGTTGGTCATTTATTATATTGTTTGGCTAGGCTAAAATTATGAATTATAATTTAAATTAAATAAATCTGACCAATAAAATTACAGGGTTAAGTATTACATAATATAGAAATTTGGCTGCTTAAAAAAATTTTTTGTTGGGACTAGGTTGTATACACTGTAGAAAATACTATAAAATTTATTACAAAAATATTGGTTTATATAATAAAATATTTTAGGTATTTAAAAGTGTCTTTAATTAAAAAACAAAATTGCAGGCAAATTTGGCTGCAAAACAGTTTAAGAGATGGCATATCAGGTTATGATAGATATATCATAATAGCTTATAATCTGATATGCTATCATTTGACCAATATGTTTTACTAATAAATTATATATTATCAATAGAATAGATGGCTATATATAAAATAGATTTATTTTATATTTTATATGCTTTTAATAGATAATTTGTAAAAATAAAAAAAATAAAATTATATTTTTTTTTTAACTTGCTATAAATTAAAGTTGCCTTTCTAAACTAATAAGTTTAGAATTATTTTAAATTGAAACTTATTTAAAAAATTATTTTAAATTTTGAAACTTTTACAAATAACTGAAATAAGTAAAATAACTTTAAACTAATTTCAAAGTTTTAGAGTTTAATTTAAAAAATAAAATAGAATTAATTTAAAAAAAATAGAATAGTTTGGAAAATGGATTTAGTTAGAAGAGTAACTTTACTTTAAAAATTAATGGGAAATGGTATTTTAATATATAAAAAATTCTTTTAAAAAAAAAAAATTTCATGAATAAATTTTTTTTTTTTGATATAAGAAATAATTATCATATATATATAATCTATATTTAAAATTTTAATTATAGATTAGTGTTATTAAAAACTGGAATTAATATTTTTGGAAGAAACCAGAATTGCATCTAAATTTTTAATTATTGTTTGGCATGTACAGTAAATAAAGGTTAAATAGAGATTTTATTTGTCATGATTTTAATCAAATATAAGCATATGCGTAATTAAGAAAATAACCAATAACTTTCAATCATTGTCGTTTACGGTTTACACTATGATGTAACATTTATGCACAATTTTTTCCTATCAGAATTCTACAGTATTTAGTAATAACTCCTAATTGTTATTCTCGAAATTCTCTTGATTTTCCAACTATAGGTTCTTGCGCATTAAATTAAAACAAAACTGCGCTTACCGCATTTGTACAATAAAAAAACATACCATTTATGGACTATAATTTGAGCGATGCGCAGAATTCGCAGAACTTACAACAAAAATGAATCAAAATATATATTTATTTTTATAAAAAAAAAATTAAGCAATAAAAAAAAAATAATTAAATAAATGATCACTCTTAGCGATTTAAAAATTAGATGAACCACCTATCTATACAAGTATAATAAATATATAAATATATATATAATTTTTTTTTTTTTTAAACTGTGAGAGATGAATAAAGTTCGTACGCGAAAATAATAATAATAAAAAAAATTATCTTGAATCGCCATACCCATTTTGAATAGTTTTAGCAAAAGATCTAGATTTAACTTGTTGTCTTTTCAACATAGATTCAGCAACGCTTCCTACTATATATAAAAGAGTAGTTAAACCGATCATAATTATAAATAACGTATATTTTTGTAAGAATCCATCAGATGCAGTTTGTGCTCCACCATCATTGCTTGCAGCAACAGTACTACTAGTTCCACTAACAGAATCAAGACTAACATCATCTAATCTGGCCCAATTACTGAAATTCTTTACAACCAAAGTTTTAACTGTTACACTACCAGTTGCTCCTTGAGCATTCCAACTCAATGTAATTGGGAAATTTTTTACATTACTATTTTTATGAGTAATAGTAGTAGATGGTACTCCACATTCTTTAAATTTTACATAGTCAGGTAAATTTTCAAATAAACCTACTCTCTTATTATCCTTATCTAAAACGTAAACCAAAAGTCCTTCAACGCCATTGCCAGGTCCATTAATTGTTAAATCAAATTTTCCTTGAGATTTCATGTTCGTAGTAATCGTATAACCCCCCGGACTTTTTAACGAGCTAGCTCCATGTCCCTTGGTAGACATGTCTTCTACATTACAAGTATCAGCTCCATCTGGTAATGCTGACACATAGAATGGCATTAATATGAACAAAAAAAGGAAAAATGAAAATAATTTCTCATGTAATTTACTCATTTTTTTTTTAATTTAATTTTAGTGTTTAGTTTTATGTTAAAATAAAAAAAAAATTAAGTGGAATCGCCGGCGATTCGAATAAGTTCGTTTTTTAAATAAAAAAAAAAATATATATATAATAATAATATAAAATAAATAAATTTGTAACCTTCAATTATTTTATTTATTATTTATTTCTTTTTATTTAATCAAAATGCCAAAGACGATAAAAGAAAAAATTAAAAAAGAAAAATCATAAAAAAAAAGAGCACATAAAAAAGAAAATCAAATAAAAGCCAAGACTGATCAACAAGTACAAAGCAAAATAAATCATTTGAGTGGCGATGAATCTGACACAAAAAGTCGGGAATGATCCATTTTTAGAAATCAAACGGCATAAAAAAAGAAATGAGTGTTATAAATTACTATAATTACATTTACTTTTAGTAATGTTTATCTTAATTAAAATTAATATCTATATAAAAAAAAGGAATTTTGATACTAGTTGATACTATGATACTAAGAATTTCTATCGAACTTAATCAGGTTTGGATGCAAGATCTTATACAATCAAATTTTTTTTTAAGCCGCGGAAATAAGGACATCCCGAAGGCTTTGTCTTTTAAGAATTATTTATTTATATAAAACCAAGAAACTCGAAAAATTGCGATTTGAAACGGGATAATGTCATAAATTTTTTTTTTTTTTTTTTTGATACAATTTCCTCCTCTTTCTTGGCAATAAATATTTTTGATACACTAAAAACATCCGTACTGATAAGCCGCAAACAAAGTTCCACTATTTAGGTTTGGGATAATTCTTGATCATCACAAAAAAAAGTTTATTTATACAATTGGAAAGAATTACGAAATTTATAAATTGTCTGCTTTGAACATTCGCTCAAAAATTTTTTTTTACTCATGAATCTGAAACTTATTACTTAATACTACATTGCGAATGGTACACAAACTTAATTAAGGTAAATGTCATTAATTGTATTTCTAATTAGACAATTCAAAAAAAAAATGATTTTTAATTAGTTTTACATTTCTGTAACTTTTTCGCCTCGTGAAAGTAGCACTTTTGATGATCCTCCTTTGTTAATAGGTGGAAAAAAAACTAAAAACTGGGTCCCAATTCTTTTTTTCTCACTCTATATGCAATCTGAGTTTGGTCTTAGATTCTTCATTTTTTAGGTTTTTTTACCTTTTTTTTCAATACTTTTAAAAAGCTAGGCATTCTCACTGGTTGAGTTTTGTTTTAGACGTCCTTTAGTTTTTAAATCTTTAATAAACTTACCTTCTTTTTGTATGCGAGCTGGTCTCTCGCTTTATTATACTTTTTCTCAATAACAAATTACAAAGATTATTAAACTCTATTCTAATTTTTACATATTACATTTTCTTGTTCTAGTTTCTTCTACCTTTACTACCGTTATTTTTTTTATTCTTAAAAATGTTGGAATCAGGAGACTTCGCGGCTGGTTATTACCAAGCTTTGACTTATTTAGGTGTAGTAATCTTACTCTCAGCACTATATCAATATAATCAAATATCTAAGTATATATTTCGTACAAAATGGCCAACTGTTCCTGATTTACCGAATCGAAGAGAAAAAGATGATACAAATCAAACACCTTCCACTATCGCACCTGATATTCATTCTGCTCCAACTGTAATGTTCCATAAGCTTATAAATTATTCTCTTCATATATTTTCTGTTGGTGATATGACAGTTGGTGAAATCTTGTTGTTTGTGCTCTTTATTGTGATCAATCTTATTTTCCTTTTATCACAATTCCCGGCTGATGCCACGGGTGCTGAAACTTTTAGCAAAAGATGCGCATACCTTGCTTTAGCAAATGCGGCTTTTGTATACCCTTTGGCTACTAGGAATTCAGTTTTCCTTAAATTAATTGGTATTCCTTTTGAACGATTGATTAGATTCCATCGTTGGGTTGGTCGTACAATTTACTTTTTAATCACTTTTCATGGATCTTTTCAAATTCAGCAATCCTACGGAATTAGTAATTCAGTTTCTCAAGCTCTCTTTGGAACTACAACTAATCAATGGGGATTTTTAGCTTACATCTCTCTATTAATTATTATGTTCACTTCTCATTCCGTAATTCGTAGATACTTTTTTGAAGTGTTTTACTGGTCTCATTTCAGTTTCATCTTTTTCCTTATATTCGGTAATTTGCATCAACCAGAATTTCTTTTGTTTACAGTAATTGGAATGAGTCTTTATCTTGTCGATCGCCTTACTCGTTTTATATTTGGATTTGGAACTATTAATGTGATTGGAATGGAAGCTATTCAAGCTGGAGTTACTAAAGTTATTTTTGAATTCAAAGATTATTACGAGGCCGGACAATATATGTTTATTAACTTATCTAATTTGAATCCACCGGTTTCATTGATAGCATGGCATCCTATATCATTTTCTTCTTCACCTAGTGTTATGGATGATGGTGTTCATTATGGCAGTATTCACATGAAGGTTCAGGGGGGTTTTTCAAGACAACTTTACGCTAGAGCACAAGATGGTGCACAATATAGTCAAGCTCCGTTAAAAATGAGAATAGATGGGCCTTATGGAAAAACAAGCCTCGATTTTATGCAACATAGAACTGTAGTATTAGTAAGTGGTGGTATTGGTGTTACTCCAATGATGAGTATATTACGTGACTTAGTTGATCGACAAGTTGCCAATATGCCAGTAGTCACTCAAGCCATATATTTCTTATGGGTTATACCTGATATAGGTAATTTAAATTTATTAAATTTTTCTTCTGTATAATTTGTCCCATGAATAATTGACTAAACTGTGACGCGTTTTATTTTTAAGATGCGTATCAATGGTTTGGATCTGAATTACGTGAATTAATATCACGAGCTGGAGCTTTACCGCAAAATAAGCATATTCTCGACGTTAAGGTGTTCTTAACTCGTTCAACAACCACTCCATCATCAATTTTTTTCCAAGGTCGACCTGACTTTTCGATTTTTATGCAAGATATAAAACGATATCATGGCTCAGGTGATGTTGCGGTTGGTGTATGTGGACCTGCTGTTATGTTGAAACAAGTCCGAAATGCGGCTGTTCATTCAAGTGATAAAACTTGTTTGTTTAAAGTTCATTGTGAAACATTCGAATTATAACTTAATTAATATTCATATTAGTCATACATGTATATTAAATAAAAGATAAAATGTTACGTTAACTAGATCGGTTAAATTTTTTTTTTTTTAAAAAAAACACACTTTCCTGTCTCTTATACACATCTAGATGTGTATAAGAGACAGGTATTTATTAACTAATAATTTGAACCAATTAAATTGGTTTAACAAATTTTTAATATAAGAAACTAAACTGAGGGTCTAATATTATTGTAATGAAGTATTTCAATATTTTCCAAGCATAATTTATCCACTTTTAACCATAATTGTACAATAGATATTTTTTTTAATATTCATCTTTTATATTAATTATATTAATAAATCTCAAATTTGGTATATAAAAAAAAATATAACCTACTTTTTTTTTCTTTTTAAGTCAATTAAATAAAAAATTCTATTGAGAAAGATAAGAATTGGATTAAAATTGTAAAACATTTTTTTTGGAATTTTTTGTTTTTTACTATAAATTTTTTCTAATACAGAAGGCAATCAATATTATGTGAATCATTACATGCTAATGTGATACAAATAATTTATAATTTTGTTCTTAAAATATAATAAACAAATTTCACATACTTCATATTTTTTGGAATTTTTTAGAAATATGAAATCACCTACTGCATAAATTTATTGATTTTTGTTATGCAGTTCATAAAAGTTAAAAATGGTATAACATGATCAATATTATTCCAATAACCATAAATTTACTATTATTCAAATTGTCTTAATAAGACGAATCCAATAAACTAATAATCATGAAATCATTGAATTATAAAGTATCATAGGATAATTCCAGATATTTAAAGCATAATCATATATTTAATATCTATTTTACAAGCACAAAATTACCATTATTAGAATTGTTTTAGTAAGATAAATCTATTGAATCTAAGATCATGAAAATCCAATTACTGGATATTGAAATATTCTTAATATATAACTTAAATTTTTTAAAAAATTAAGAGTTTTGCAATTTTTATAAACTCATGTAACTTATGTTTGCTAATGTTATCAAAATTTTTGCTTAAGATAGAATTAATCAAAGATTATTGTTAGGGCTACCACCATGAAAATAGTTGAAGATCGAACAAGTCACATGATGTAGTATGCAGAAATCCTCTGAGTTATTACAATATGAAACATTTCTTATAATATATTTTAGTTTTATTAGTTATTTACATTAATTAACTACTTTTAGTATTGTTATTACTTTTGACTCATAAGTATTCAATTATAAGTATCAGTTTCCTCAGAAAATTGCTTTATTAGTTTAGCTAGAGAAGTTTCTTGAACTTTACATAGTTGATGAATCATATAGACACATAGAACTTATACGAAATGGTAATGGAAAGGTTTTTGCAGATAATTGCAATGGAAAAAGAACAATTGATTGATTAATCATATTAGTATAATAGGATAATATTGATAGGTTCAAACTGTCATGTGTGCAAATGTAAATATACAGTATATAGAGCAATATTTTTCTTTGAATAAAGATTGTTAACACCTGGATAATCTAACAGTGAGTTTAGATTGTGTTATCTGAAGTATTGTGTTTTTGTATGATTTGTTTATTAGTTTTTCTTTGTAGAAAACTTTTCGCATATTTTATTTGTTTTACCTTTGTGTTTATTATTAGTTGTTAGATAGATTTCTATCTTTAAGAAACTCTTACATTGTTTACCATCATTATTAATTTTCTATTGAGAATTATTAGTAATACTTTTATATTTCATTATAATATTATCAAGATACTTATTATTTTATTACTTGGCCTTTTTGTCATGACTGTTCAATTTAACATCTCTGATGTTAATTATCACTCCAAACCAAATTAGTGATAATACTAACTTTACATTAAGCTTCTAATTTTATATAATAAAATTATTTATATTATATTCACATGTTTTACTAAATTTCTTAATAAAAGTATTTGAAAAGTATATTAAAAGTATATAGGAGATATTCTTCTGAAATATTATAAAATATAGATCAATTGCTTATTTTATAGAATTAAAGCTATTATTGTAGCAAATAAAAATAGAATTCAATAATAAATTTTTATTTTAATTAACAATTAAAGATGCAATAAATGTATTATACTTAAATTTTTACTTTCACTTTACTATTAATATATATATAATTTTTTTCACTTTAAAAAATGTTTGCATATCATTGATCACTCTCTGTAGTATATACCATATATCGTGGGCCACAGTACTTCAGATATTTTGCAAAAATTGGGGTTTGATCCTATACTTGCAGATACTAAACAAAACTTAAAAATTCTGTTTTTTGTAAATATTTTATGATTTACTAGTCCAATTTGAGCGATCTTCTTTTTATTATGAAGAGCTCAATAATAAGAACTATTAAACAAAAAAAAGATTACTCAAATTTGATTACTAGATCACAAGATAAATGTAAAATATCTCCTAAGTATTATACAATTCTATAAAATTTTTCAAGAGGAATATATATGGTAATACCTTTTCTGTTACAAAAAAAATATTTTACAAAACTTTTATATTATATATATATGTAGTATTACAAAATTAATAAAGATTATAAGTATTAAAAGATTTAAATAAAGTTAAATAAAAGTTTAAAATTAAATAAAACTGAATATAACTTAATTGTAGTAAAAATTATTTAAAAATATTTCATCTTATATTTTAGGAAATTTGCTATTAGAATTTTGTATTTTAACATAAAAAGTTAAAGATATAAAACTCTTAATAATTTTAAATTTACAAGTAACTTAGTTAAAATTAATATTATTAATTACTTGAGTTTTACAATTTGATTTGATATTTAACATTTGATTTAAATTTGATTTGATTTGAAAATTCTTTAATTTAATTGATTAATTTGATAAATATTTATTTGATTTAATAAATTCAAATTAGTTTCTATTCAATTTAATTAAATTTTAAAGAACCCTATTAATTACTATAAAATTTGTATATTATATCATATAACAAAATGCAATTTATAAAAAGAAAGTATTTATAACTATTTTTAGGATTTGTCTAAAGTAAAATCAATTTTGTAATTGGTTTAATTTATAAGAATTATTAGCATTAGATATTTTTAATCATTTTCTAACATTAGTAATTAGTGATATTTTTTAAAGTTTTAAGATCAGAATTCTAAATAATATTAAAAAAAAAAATCTGGTTTTATATAAATTTTATAATAAATTCTAATTTTAAATATGATATAAAGTTATATTAATTTTTTAGTTTCAAATTTGCAATTTTAAAAATTAATAATTAGATTTAATGATCTTGAAATTCATTAAAATAAATATTTTGATATTTATTTATTTTTATAGCTATAATATTAATTAAAAAAAATTATTATTTATCACTGATGTGATTTATTGCTATTTTCCATTTGTTATGTAAATTATGTAATTTAATGTAATATATATTTAATTAACCTTTTTGATTATCATCAATTAGTATTTTCTACAGTTTGTTTATCCTTTTTATTTCTTTAATATTAAATGCAAAATGCCAAAATTCATAAATAATTTCATTTTTTTTTTTTTTTTAATAATCTATACATAAATAATTTCATTTATTATTTTCTTTTCATATAAATTTACCTTATAGAAGAATAAAAATTCAAAAATATTTATCTTTAGAATTTACTTAAAATATATAATTAGGTAGAATAATATTGGCTGACTTTAAAGTAATGTTAACTTTAAAGTAGTATTTGACTTTAGAGTAACTTAGGGTTAGGGTAAAAAAAGTAAATTTAAATTAAATGTGTTATTTTTAAAGTAGTATTAGTTTAGAGTAACTTAAAGTTAAGGTAAGAAGAATTAGTTTAAGTTAGGTATACTAGAAAATAGTAACCATTGATGCATTTAAAAAGAACCTGCTTAAGGTCTCTGGGAAAAATTTTAAATTTACCAGTAATTTTACTTTACTCCAATTATTAATATTATTGATTAATTGATTAAAAGGAAAAAAATTATAATAATGCAATATAATATTTCCTTTTTTAGATATAATTTATCTATTTATAATAGGATTATTAAAATTTTTTCTTAGTGATTTTACTTTAGAGTTATAGTGATTTTTATTATAAGTAAGTGGAGTCCTATCTGAAACATTATAAATCACATGCTTATAAAAATTAAACTGTAAATTAAATAGCATAAAATTTTTTAAAAATATTTTAAATCAAAGTGACATAAATAAAAAGTGTCATATACATAAACAAATCTAAGGTTACACCTGATTCTAAGATTTTATTGGTTATACACGCCTATGGACGGATAATACATGTATAATTAAAAGTAAAATGAAAGTGTTCTATACTTATGTTTTAGACAATTATCTTTGGAGTAATATTAATTTAAAGTGGTTTTAAGATTAAGGTAGTGTTCTGCAAATGATTTGGTCAAATCAAATCAATTCAGATTCAATTTGGATTTGGTTTGATTCAATTCGATAATTTTTGATTTGTAAATCGAATTCAAATCTCAAATTCAAATTTGAGTCTGAATCTGAATCAAAAAATAAAATTTGATTCGATTTTAAATCAAATTGTTAAATTGAATTAAATCGTTAAATCAAATCAAATTATTAAATCGTTAAATCATTAAATTGTTAAATCATTAAATTGAATCAATCAAATCAAATCAAATTTTGAATTAAATCGTCAAATCGAATCAAATTGAATCAAATCCTAAATCAAATCAAATTAAATTGATTCGAATCTCAAACTTATTAAACTTTATTTAATTAGAATCAGATCAAATTTAAATCAAATCAAATCAAATTAAATCAAATTTTGAATCAGATTTGAATTTTTTAAATTTAATTCAATTGAATCAAATTTGAATTTGAACTGATTTGATCTGATTTGATCTGTGCAGAACACTAATAACTCATATTTAAATTTGCGTAGAGTTTATATTAAAATTTTTTAAAAGTTACATATTACAGAATATTTTCAAAATTTTGTTATTTTACATACTTCTATTTTTAATACAACCAGTAATTCAATTTTAATAAAATTTATATCATTGAATTCATTTCGATAAGAGGATTCTA